CAAACAAACTGATCCATGATGGCATTTCACAAACGAACTGATCCATGACAGCATTTCACAAACTAACTGATCAATGATGGCATTTCACAAACTAACTGATCAATGATGGCATTTCACAAACTAACTGATCAATAATGGCATTTCACAAACTAACTGATTCATGATGGCATTTCACAAACAAACTGATCAATGACAACATTTCACAAACAAACTGATCAATGATGGCATTTCACAAACAAACTGATCAATGATGGCATTTCACAAACAAACTGATCAATGATGGCATTTACTTATATATGATCTGATATATGACTCGTCCAACGTGTTAAAAAAGACACATTTTATCATGTTTATTGAGTTCATCTCACTTAACACAAGACATGAAACATTTCAGTGACGTTCATTGATTTCTGTATAAATCTTTACATGCAGATTAAATTACTGTTGTACTGCAATAATACATGTGTTTAGAGCAACCTAAAGAAAAGCTGTGAATGATTAAAACAAAGCTATACTCAAATCAGGTGCTGTGCTTATTGGTCAGAAACAAATCATGTGACTCTATCTGAAGCTCTCAAAATTTAATTCCAGATTTCCCATAATGTACTGTGGGTTGTTGTTACTCACCACAGACTCAGTTTCCACAGGGTCTGGTTCTTGTCTTCTTTCATTTGCAGCAAACGGCGTCAATACAGGGTTGCCAGATACAGCACGGTTCATGAGATCTAATGCTTGAGTGAACTGATCTGGAAATGCAGAAACTTAGATTGTGAATCATCTTCTTCACTTCAAGTTGGGCACTCACCTATAAAAGTATTGCTGTTTTGTTATAATGGATGGAACACCAAATCAGCAATAACCATTCAGCTGAACACTGCTGTACTACTCATTTTAATGAGGACGCATTGATATTTACTGTGAGGCAATTATTATTATTATTAATTATTTAGTTTCTTACGAGAGATTTTATCATAAAACAAAATGACCAACATCGAGATCCGGAATTGAAGTAATTGTTTTTGATAAATTTTTAACATTAAAACAACCACAATTTAGCCATCTTGATTCGGATAACCAAATGAATAAATATGCAACATTATATATGATGTATATGTAAAGTTTAAACATGACTGTTCAGCACATGTCAGAGATATAGGAGAAGCAAAATGACGTACATAATGCCATCTTGAACCAAATCATGGAACAAATAAATGTGCATATGTTACGCAAGACATGAGATGAATTTGTGAAGTTTACATAGCCAAATATTACAGGAAGTACAGTTTTAAAAGTCTTCTTCTACTTTTATATACGAATATTAATATTAATAACTTCATATTGCCTCTTACCTTTTATCATGGGAATATTGAGGAGTTCTTCGGAAAACATGGACTTCCAGCCTGAATACCACTTTGTGACTTCAGCAAAGTCAGGTTTATTACTCAGCCAACTACATAACACATTCAACCACTTAGGAAAGAAGTGTTTGTGCAACATGGTTGCCAGGTTTGGTTTCGGCAGTAAGTCTTCCCATGCCATAACCCAATGGAATGGATCTGGGAGTAGATAAAACATCAAAGTACATAAAGACCTATATTGTTGTCAACAAATAAGTGTGTACATGACAACAAAATTCAGTTCATTTAATTTTGCATGTAAACACAAGAGGGCGCTATACTACAAATAAGTTGGAAGAATGAGGAAAAACTCACCGAGATGTTGCTGGTAGGGATTGATGACAAGCTCTTGTAAACAAACAACAAGCTTTGGTGAAATATTACGAATGAGAAATGCATCCATAGTTCCCTGTGAAAACACTGGCTTCCACGGTAACAAAATAGTCTTAGCAGAAATGTCACTAGGGTGCCAATTGGTTAATGCATGTGATAGCTTCTGTCTGATTGGTGCATACAGTGGCTCTAGTCGAGTACCTTGAAAACAAAAAAAATTGTCAGATAGCTTTAAATGTTCAATAATTCAGTTTTTTTTTAGTTTTTTTTTATTTCACTGACATCGATTTTAATTATTCCCATTTTTGTGGGTGATTTTTAAAAAGACTCATTCACTCCACACTATAGGTGGCACTCACCCATTAAAGGTAACCATGGATGTAACCAGGAGTCAATTCTCTGTGTATCTGTCAAAGGATTCCATCCCTCAACTTCCTTCTGTAAATTTGGTAGGATTAGTTGGTCCAAAACATTTGCTGTAATCCACTGTGGTAGTATTGGCAACCAGTTTTCAAGTAATTCTGTTATAATAAAATTAAAAAAACACTGTCAACACATTTGAACACTATTGCCTTTAATACAGAGTTGCCTGGAAAACGAACATTACCGATACTGGGACATTCTTTCTATGCAAGTTTATTTTGCAGTTTCATACTAGTCTATGCATTGTGGGTGTAAGTACCATATTTACTCTATTACAAACACATCTCAAGTACAAGCACACACTAGTCTATGCGTTGTGGGTGTAAGTACCATATTTACTCTATTACAAACACATCTCAAGTACAAGCACACACTAATCTATGTGTTGTGGGTCTAAGTACCATATTTACTCTATTACAAACACATCTCAAGTACAAGCACACACTAGTCTATGCGTTGTGGATCAAAGTACCATATTTACACTATTACAAACACATCTCAAGTACAAGCACACACTAG